TCTATTCTGTCATTGCTATCCATTCTTTCTGCGTAAATAATGGAAGTTCTACTATTAATGGAAAAGACTTCTCAAATTGCCAACAGTAGGATTGAATGAGAACTTTCCATTCAACGTTGCATGAGCGCCGCGACCTTCGGGCAAAGTGCGGCCCAATCCTTAACTGCGAATTTGGCGCGAAGCAGAATATTTCGAATTAGTGCGGGAAATCGCTGTGCCCTCCAAATGTGATTTTTTTTTACCTTCTGACTTTCCGCATAGTTGTGCTGGCACTTCTTTCGCTTTTAGCTATTTTTTAACGCAATTTAATCCAGAAATGGATGGTAACTTCATGGTGGATAGGACTAACGAGGCGAGAAATCGCGAACTAATCCAGCAGTATCTGAATATCCTTGATGACTCAGTAAGTGCGGATAGATATTTTAGAGAGATCTTATCGTTTTTTGCATATATATATTTAAGGCTGAAGGGAAGATTTACGTGCAGAAAGTAGAGGATATGATTAGCACTGAAACTCCCAGACTTATTGTGAACCTCAACGATATTCGCAGGAAATCCTCTGAAAGGGCGTCAGGGTTAGTCAAATATCATTTGTTCAGCCTTTATGAGCATTAGTGATTTGAGTAATTATATATTTTAGTCTTATTCACAATTTTGTCGAGGAAATTGTGTGTTTGGAGCAGGCGGCAAAGGAGATTATCCAGCGCGCCAGTCCAGACTTTGTCAAAGCTCAGTAAGTTTGGTATTTTCTTTGATCAAGTTTGGTTTGATACCTTAGTTGTCGATGCAGACTGGATAAGATCTACTGTACTGAAGCAATGCTTTGAGATGTAGGTGTAATAGATGATAAAGAAACAGAATAAGTTATCCCAAGTAGCATATATGATAACATTCAATCATACACAGAAGTGGAGAAAAACTTTTGCCTCTTGCACTTTCAGTGAGGTTCAAGTGGGTTTCGAAGGCAGCTTTGGCGATCGCCACGTAAATCCAAGATCGCTGAAGGCGGACTTTCTCGGGAATCTCGTCTGCTGCGAAGGCATCGTTACAAAATGTAAGTCGTCTGCCTATTGAACCAATGTAGTTTTTTTTTTTTTGCAGTAAAGTTG